TAATTTTTCTCAAAAAGTTTCTCACTTGAGTTTTTTGTTCAACCATTTATTCAAATAGTACAATTCGTGCAGTGCAGTATAAGAATTTTAATTTGCAAGTATTTGTTATACTTTTTACGTTTTTATTTTATTATTTTTCCATTTTATTTTTGCGTTTTTTATTTTGGTGTGAATTTAAAATAAAAGAAAAATCTAATGCTTAAGTATGGCTTAAATGGAGTTATTAAAATATTTTCATAAAATTAATTTTACTATTATTTAATTTTTAATTTGATTATATTAATATTTCCCTCCCTTTTTGAAAATATTTTCTCTTATAATACTTTTATAATCGGTAACAACAAGTTGATACTAAGTGTGTATTAGTTTTATAAAATTTTATAAAACTAGCCTCTAAGAAATTTGAGAGAGTGTTAAAATAAAATTTTTAACATATTAGGTTTTTTCTTCTCTATTACTTTTAATTTTTAACTAAAAAGAAAAGCTTTAAAAATTTAATTAATTAATAATAGAGCTTTAAAAATCTTTTACTAGTTTACCTTCATTTCTATTATGGCTGTTCTCGTACCGTACCTATATTAGTAATATATAGAGAGGGAGAAGCATTTGTTTTGGTTTTTTGCCTGAGAATTAAAATATGAAGCTTTCGAAAAATTTTTATATCTTACTGTTGTTGTTGCTATTGTCAAATTGCTTAAAGAAACATTATTTGTTTTTACCTCGCAATGCAAGTATTTTAATTAGGTCTTCAGACCATCATTGATTAACTGAAAATAAAGGGTGTAAGTTTTTAATCGAAAATGATTTATTAACCTATATATATGCAAAATTTTTGTTGTGCCGAATAATTCTTTAACCATATTATATTAATACTTTTGAGAGATAACGTTAGAGATATTGAGTAACATATGACTCTATCGTGAGTTTGGAATATTCGAATTCATTGGAAAATTACTTTAATATATGACACATTAAAAGAATATTTCATATAATTATTTAAATTTTCTTTTGAAAAGGTTGGTAACCCTTTAATATTTACATTACTAAAGCTGTTATATACATGTGCATATATATCTGTTATATGATTTTCCAATGAAATCATATAAAAGTTGAGTGACATACCGTTTATAAAATATTGAATAGTGTTATGTGTGTGTATATTGTTATAATTTTTTTCTCCTTTTTTGCTTTTTATTCTCTTTATTATATTAAGCTAAACTAAATAGATTCCTATGAAATAGTTACAAACTTTAAAGTTAATAACCCAATAGAGCAATACACAGTTAACATATAAAAGAAGTATAACAGAAAAAGTTAAATAAATGAGCAGGCGAAAAGAAACAAAAAACAGCATAAGAAATGTAATGTACTCAAAAATTTTTAAGAGACGAACAGAAGAGCGGGAAGTAGAGAGTAAGAGAGGGTGGGCGAACGATAAACGGATACCAAAACGCAAGAAATTCAGTCAATGCTCGTTTTTCTTTTTTCTTTTTTTCTTTTAAATATTTTATTTTTTATTATGATTATCTTGCATTTTATAAGATGAAAAATATCTATTTGTAATTGTACAACTTGAATACTAATTTTTGCTTAAACTTTTATATTAAAAAAAAAATCAAAATAATTTTTTAATGATTTTTCTATTGAGATTTTATTTTAAATCTTGTTAAGGAGTGGTTGATATAAAGGAGAATATTTTTAAGCGTGTAAGATAAAAATATTATATAGAGTGTATTACAGCTGAGTATAAGAAAAAAAAAAAGATTTATTATTCAAGCAAGAGTGTTGATAATTTAATGAGTGTATAATAATATTGTGTTGTGTATAAAAGAAAAGAGAAATAATAAAAATATAGCGAGTTTAGAAAATTTGAGTATATTTAAATGTTATATACTGCTAAAGTCTATTTTACTCCCTCATTATATTTAGATTTGTATTTGCTATTTTATACGTTTATAAAAATAACTTGAATTTTATGATTTTGTAACATTATGTACATATGTATGTTAGTGCAGTACTCTCAATGATAACAAGTACCAGATTCTCATAATTTATTTAAAAATAATTTTTGTTTTTAAGAATTTGCTGTACGTACCTATAAAATTTTCATTAACAGATTCAGTTATAATTTATTGTTATGCAAGTATTAAGTAAGTATTTAAAAAATAAATATTTCTGTTCGATAATGACAATGACAACATGATTGAGGAATTTATATTTTTATTACTTAACTGAAACTTTAGTTAATATAGTGTTATTATACTGTCAGTGTCTTTCGAATATACTATAATTAAAATAACTTAATTAAGAATTTTCAAAAATAAATTAAAATAATTTCTATGTAAGCTAAAATTACTAATATACGACTAGGTCTTGTTTTTGTCAATATTCATCTTTAACATATTTGACTTAAAAAATTGGTTTTGTTCATAGTCTACCAAAAATCCAATAATCTCGAATGATGCTTAAACAAAAATGTCGACGTTACATATTTTACTTCCATGCTAGTGTATGCAAACTTTCTGATATTTTTAAAAGACTTTATTAAAATTATTAGTTTCAGCTTATTGGGTTTTTATTGAACTTTCCACAGTTACATTAAATTTTCTGCCTTAAATTATAATTTAATTGCTTTATATATTTTTATTTTAATAAAATTTAATTTATATTATTGACAACATTTTGTTAAATGTCATAATATAAATTATATGATTGTGTGTATTATAATCAAATTCAGTCGTTTTCTTTTGAGTTAAAATTTAAATATAAAAATTAAACATTTTGAGTATTTTGCAGAAAATTTCAAAAAAACTTAAAACAAACTTATTTGTAATGTTTCTTTCACGATTTCCAACTTGACTCCTAATTCAATCACTCTTACCTGACATGAAACTAATATTTCATATTAATTTCAACTTTGACAATATAAAAAAATTTTTCGTTTTTGTAATCTTTCTTTGAACTCTCATTTGATATTGTAAAATATTTAAGGTAAAAGAGTTGAGTTAAGTATTAAAAATTTGAATTGAAAAAAAAAAATAAAAAGAAAAAAAAATTAACTGAGTATTTTTATTTTTGTATAAGCAATTTTTGCTAAAAATTTAATTTTTTGCTCAAAAAATCAAAAAAGAAAAAAACAAAAAAAAACCTCCCTTCTCCCAATCGTCCATTAACACTATTATCACAAACACAAACATAATCACAAAGAAATATTTTATTATACGATTAAAGAAAAACAAAAAAAAAAAAAACAAAATTAAAATTTAAACTTTTTGTCTCGTATTCAAAAGAAATAAAATGCAACAAAAAAAAAGAACCGAAAAATCTAAATTAAAATAAAAATATTTTTTAATATTACCTGCCAGTTATAGGATTAATATTTTCAAAAATTATTCGGTTTTCGAAAAAATATGAAATATAACAGAATATTATATAAATAATGTACTGAATAATATGTTTATTTACCCGACGACTTTTGCATCAATGATTGACACACGTTTCATTCCCCTTGTCAACTCAGCATTGTCGGTAGGAATCGGCAGGAATCGGCTGGAATCAATCATTGCTGCAAAAATCGTCGTGTTAAACACACCTAATAATAGTTAAGACAAATTTATAATAGTCATAAATAAAAATTATAAAATTATATACAAGCATACCATAGTATAACATTTTAAAAATTTTAAATAATGATAATAATAAAAAAAATATAAAAATAATATAAAAATGACAATATAAGCAATAGCTTTAACCTCACAAAGTAATCAAACAAAAGAAATCAAAACAGCAGCAACAACAAAAAAATAAAAGTACGTGTGTGTATTTAGTTAGGTATATGAACATATTCTAAATATGTGTGTTTACTTGTGTGTATATTCATGATGATCGTAAGTTTTTGTAAAAAAAAAAGAAAAACAAAATAAAAGTCAAAGAAGAAAAAAACAAACGAAGAAAAAAAAACTTTAAAAGTTAAAAGAAAAAATGAATTGACTTGCGATTTTAAAGATTTTCAAATTTAGTGTGTGCCGACCAGCTAAAGTAGTAAGACACAAAATATTCATATAAGAACTATAAACACTCTTATAAATATATAATTAGTTTTACTCTGTTGCAACTCCCAACTCTTTAAATTTTACAGAATTTTTGGGAAAAAAAAACTTTTTTTTTTTCAAATTTTCTTAAACTTTTACACGCCGACAATTCCAAATTAAATTTTGTTTTTTTTTTTTGTGTTTCGTTACATTTGAAAATTGGAAGTTCTCTGGTCGTTTTAACTTTTTTTTTGGTCGCCGTTTTTATTTTATTTTTCTTTGTTTGCTTGTACATTTTGTGTTTCGTGCGCTCGCAACGTAAGAGTTCATTTTTTTTAGCAGCTTAACTTAGACTTTGTGTTTTTTTTGCGTTTTTTAACTTATAATTTTTAGTTCATTAAAACTCCCCAAGAAGAAGAAAAAAATAAAAAAGCTTTTTTTATATACACTCAAAGAAAAAAAATAAAGAAGAAAAAAGAAGAAAATTTAAAGTTTTTTTGTGCTGTGCTGTTGTTTTTTTTGGTGTGTTTCTTGTGTAACATTAAATTTTTAATGTATTCAATAAAAAATAAAAAATTAAGGGAAGGAGAAATGAACTAAGAAATGACAAAGTAATCGTGCGCGAATTAAAAATATTTTTTTTTGAATTTATTGAAAAATATAAAAAAAAATTTTAAATAAAAATTTACTTCATAAAAAATAAGAAATAAATTACAAAATAATTTTTAAAAATTAAAAAATTTTCCTATATGAAAAATAATTAAATAACAAAGAATCAAAACAAAAAAATGTGAATTATAACGGTATAGTGCTTTTTATAAAATAATTTTGAATAAAATTTAACAACAATTTAAAAAACTTGCAAAAATATTTTTTTAAAAAAATTGTGTTTAAAAAAAGTGCAATTACTTTTTTTTGGGTTTTTTTTTTTCAATTTCAATTTCAAAATTGCGAATTTTTTATGAAAAACTCAAACTGCAATTTTACGTACTAAATGCAAAAGGAAAGGATTAAAAATATTATAATTAAGAAGATAACGGTAATATATAATTTTATTAAAATTGTTTTTAGCATAAGTTATTTTAAATTTACTGTTTTATGATGTTGTAAAAGATTTTACCTATTTTACTCTAGTTTAGTTTTAATTGTTGGTTGGGTAGTGGTGAATTATAATTAGTGAATCCCAATTTATGAATTCTGTCAAATTTTGAGCAAAGAAAGTGTAAGTCGAAGGTGAGACGGTTGTTTATACTCCTGTTTTTTAAAGAAATTTGAAAGTCTATTGACTCATACATATATAAACACAATAATAAGGGCCAAAAAATTTAAGTTAATTTTAAAAGCTGGCATTAAAGTACTGTACATATTCACAGGGAAAATAAAGTCATGATATTTTTCATGATATTATTAACTCTCATATACATATGTATATACCACAATAACTTTGTTTCGACGCCGAAACCATCATAAATTTATGATCAAAGAATAAAGATTTTATTCACTTAAATTTAAAAAAAAACATTACATTTTGGATTAGCTATACAACACTATATCGAGGAATCAAATTATGTATGAATTTACTGAGCCCCTTGAAACTGCTTAGTATAGAGCACAACTCAAAAATCAATTAATTAATAATTAAATTGAGCTATATATAAGTATTCGGACATTAAAAGACGACCTGTAATAGTTACGAACATTTCTGATAATTTGGGGTGCAGCTAACCTGTCACATAAGCCACATTAGCCTAACAAACAAACTAACCAACCAAAAATAAAATTGAATTATTTTGTATTGTCTTGACCACATCTTTATTAGATCTAATTTAAATGTAAATTCCCCCTTCCCCCGTCCACATAATTATTGTTCATTAGTGTTAAAATTAAAAAAAAAATTATATTCAATTGTGTACACAAACTTTACTTACACAAACACTACAATTGTGGCAAAAAAATTTTATTTTTTGGAAATTTTTCAATAAAACCTGATTAAATATATTTTTAGACGCCGGCTTATTTAAGAATTAAGTATGTACATATGTCCCAATTGTAGAAAAATAAATAGGTATACAAAAATTAGTTTTCAAACAAGTTTTTTGTGTCTCTGGACAAAGATTTATGCAAAAATTTTTAAATATTTAAAATAGACAAGTTTATTAAAAATAAATTAATTTTTTTCTGTTTTTATTTATAATTAGAACTATTAGTGTATACTAAATGTTAGAGTAAATACGAGTATTTATTAAGTTATTAAATTGCATATCAACTGTGCTTATTGTACATACTTAATTGTTTGAATAATGATTAATCTAGTTAAGAATTTTAAGTATAAAATTTGTTTAGTAAAATACAAAATGAATAATTATGTTATTTATTTTATTAATGGGTTTGTAACATTAGTCATTATCCATTAAGTGAATTATTTACTTAATTTATTAGTACTTTTTAAAAGCTATGTAGTTTACTATATGATATCCGACTAATTCGGGAATCTATAGAGAGACTTATATTAAAATAGGAAAATTTTATTGAATTTTTGAAAATAAGTGATTGAAGTCAAATAGAATGAGGTTAATTTGGTGCATGAAAATTTTAATTGGTTTTAAACTTAACTAAATTTTGACTTTAAACATAATCTAAGTCTAAATTTAAATCTAAAATTCGGTATGATAGTATAAACATCCACGTATGTATATAAAATTTAATAATTATTATAATTTTTTTTCTTTTATACATGCATACTCAATACCTTGCATTTGACATTTGGAAATTTTATAATTGTATTGACAGTTTGATGTTGCCGACGTTTTGTAAATTTACCTCTAAATTCATCTTATACGAATAAAAAGAATTTTTTATTTTAATTAAATATTTTAAATCATACCATAATTGATTCTAATCATCTCTTTATAAAAAAAGGAGTATGTGCGTATATAAGTTTATTTTGTATATTTAATCAGACACGTATGATATTTTCTGTGCCGACAAGGTATTACATTTTCATTTTAGTTAAATTTGTTATAACAAATACTCGTAACATTTCTTCTTTAAGTTAGTTTATTCTTTTTTAAACTATTGCACACATATATATAAAATAATAAAAAATATTTAAGAAAAATATGCTTGAGACTTTATATTGATCAAAATCTAAACTAATGAGTGAAGTCAATTGTAAGTAGTTGTACAGTATTCATGAAATTTAATTCAAGGGACAATAATAAAAATGGAGTCAGGAGTGCTATTGAGATCGGTATGGCACTCATCAAAATATTTTCCTTAAATTGATATAAGACATTTTTCCTTGTAGGTAGAGAATCATATTAGTATATTATGTATATGATTATATTGTGTTATATGTACGTTTTGTATATAAAAATATTCAATCAAGGTATTGTGCAATAATGTTAATTTTCTAGTTTTTACTCTCTTAAATTTTTATGTATAACAATATAAAATTTTTACATACATCAATACTTGTATGTTTCGCTGCTTAATACTTGTTTACATTTTTAAGAGTTTGTTCATTTGTGTTTGTGGATTGCAATGTTTATATTGTAAATAAACTTACATATAAACATTAAAAAGTGATAGTTATAATTTTTTCTGCTTTATTTTTTAATGAAAGTCTCATTTTTTTTATAACTGATTTTTTTTTTATTTTGTTATATTAATGATTTTAAATTTACCACAATTTTTATATGTATGCGTGTGTATGTATACCCCAAGTTTCGTATTATTATTATTTAATTTAGATAATTAATAAAAACATTCAAATAAATTTGAACGAAAAATATTAAAAATAAATTAATGTTTTGTGTAATATTCTGTGTATGTACGTAATTTAAATGTGCATACATATCTTTATTTTACAATAATAATGTAGACTAATTGATATAAAACGTATGATAATAATAATGAGTATATAAAATAATGGGAATTGTTATATTAGGAGCAGTTTAATGAACTAGAATGAATTTTTATAATTAAAGAACATAATGAGAAATTTGAGGAATTTTCAATTAAGATTGAAGTACCGAATAAGAAAATATTGGGCTATAAGATTCGATTTTTATAAAAAATATGAATTTTAAGATCGCAGATGAAAAATCTAAAGTAAGATTTTACAAAATTATATTTTGACAAATGAAAAGTTTGGAAATTTTTGCTATCACTCTAGTTTCAATCGAATTCAATCAAGTTGTTTCAGCAGAAATCACTTGTTTACACTTTTGTTCAAAATTAAATTAAGAAGTTTTGAAACGTTGTCAGTTACTGTTTTCGCTTTTTGTTTTAGATAATGTCAAAAAAACTTATTTTTGTTGCAAATTCATTTTGTTGTTAATTTAAGTAAATAACAACAAAACTGAAGTTCTCTAAGAATTCGCAATTGATTTCTTGCGTTTATAGTAGGCAACGTCAATATTTTCTACTGAAATCAATAATGATTTCTTAAGAAATTTTAATTAGGAAAAATATTGAAAGCGTCATTTTAGTTAGTCCAAATTAATTTACAAATTGTTGATAATTGAAATTAAATATTTGTATCAAAATTTGTACAAATTATATATGTATCAAAATTAGCAATATTTTTTAATATGTCGAATTACGTACATGTATACATAGCTAAAACTTTAAAAATATAAAAAAATATTGTGTGAAAAATATTTTTTATTCAAATTGGTATTTGTGCAATAGTGACAATACTGCATTGCTATGTAATTTCTGTCTAAATAGAATGAAAGTGGTGAAACAAAACAGAAAAATGCGGGCAGACGATTTTCTTTATTGATCTAAAACAACAGCGAAACGGCAAAATCAACTGTTATATGTGACATTATATGCAAAGTATTGTACATATTGATTTCAAGAGAAACCGCCAGGGCTAAAATAGGATCTTAGGATAATGCCGTCTGTTAAGTTCGCGGATGCAATTTTGCTTCATTCTGGCAAGTCCCTTTAATATTTTCTATTTGTTAATGTATTCTATATGAATTTTGAAAAGTAAATTTTAAAAATTTGACATTTTTCTCAACGCACATTTGTTGACATTTCACTCAACTCAACACAATTTTTCACAGAATTCGAAAAGATTAATAAATAAAATAGTTGATTGCTAAGTATTTAAATGATATTACATTGAAATAGCTTTTATGCTAGATGCAGAATAATGTAGTCACATTGTTCTTTAGTTGCACAAGAATTTCATAGACACTTCATTCTAATAAAACCCCACGCAATTTTTAATTGAAAAATTTCTTTAACAAATTTTACGTCAATAAAATTTTTACATTTCAATTATTTATTCATTTCGATTCCCTTTTTAAATATTAAAAGTGTAAGTATTTTTTATTAAATTAGTAAATTAAATTTCAATTTAGGAAAATTAAAGTCAATTTTTATTCATCAATTATCGACAAAATGTTAATTTGAATATAAAAATGACTTGAATTTGATATTATTTTTTAATTTAATATGAAAATCACACAAAAATTTAAATTTTGATTGTTTTATTAAAATAAAAAAAAAGTGTTTGTAGACTTGTAGAGAATTTAAAAACGAAACAAATATAGGTGTAACTTACTAAAATGAAGATTATAAGAAACAAAAATAGAAAGTTTAAGCCTTTTTCATACGAAATTAAATTAAAATTCAAATTCCTAGCGTTTGCAATCTTTTAAATTAATATTTTGCGAGGGAAAAAGTATACAGTAAAAAATCATGCTAAGGTACACGTGTTTGTATGAACATTTTATTTGTTTTACCTCTTTTTTATTGTCTGAATTTAATTTAAATGTGTTGGGAATTTTAATATTAGTTTTAAGAAGAGAAGAGGAAACAACAAACAATTAATATGTGAAATTAATAATAAATGTGTTCAATAAACATAATTAAAATGTTGAAACCGAATTTTTATATAAAACTTATAAATTTTCAACCGCAGGTATTCGTGTTAATACTGATAACAATTCCCACAGTATAAAAAGAGGTCTGGAAGTTTCCCATTTCGTCGCTATAAATATCCAAATACGCAATAGTAAATCTTAGCCATCTTGCCTCAAAGACAGTATTTCGTCCTACTCAGTGCAATGTTAAGATTTCCTGTCTGTATTGTCAGATAGATCATTCAAATCTTGATTCTTTTTATATTCCGCACATTCTAAATTCTTGTGTTCTATAAAATAATATTCCAATTTATTATTGTGTCACATGAATAACATGAACACAGTGTTATTATTAAAATATTGAAGCCTTGTCCAAAAACATACAAGTAAAAACATAAATTTTTAAAATGAATTCTTGTACCTAAATATTGAGCTTTACTTGGTATTCAATTGGTGTACTTAATTGCCTGTATATGTATAACCAAGTATATAATTAAAATTCGGAATCATAAAAAATGTTACATTTTAATTAAAAACGAAAAATGTTTGATTAAACTTACTTGTAATTAAATTAAAAATTTATTAATTAATTTTCAAAATCATTTTATTAATATAGAATAAATCAAGGTATTCGAAGTATTTTAATAGTATCGTATTTTTATAATAGTTATTCGTACTTGAATTATGTATGAATGAGTATATGTTTACTATTGCACATGCCTTTAATAGAAAATGTATATACATATAAATAGATAGATAATAACGTTTACATTAGAGAAACGGCATAAAATTTTGTTTTTAAAATGAAAAACTCAAGTATCTTAATGAGTATAAAATAACAGATATTAGAGTAAAAATTTTAATTTACATCTAATTTAAAGTGTAATAAGTATTTTAAAAAGTAAGATATGAAAAAATTAAATTTGACATAGAGAAAAATTTAAAGTCAATCAAACCCAACGAAAATGTTAAAAACACTCTAATTTATATCCTACGTGTTTGAACGTTTTAAAAGCTTACGGTTATTTGAAGGAATTCAACACATTCTCTCAGCCTTTTATAATATTTACAACTTCATTTTGTATTCCTTGTATGACAGGCAAACACGTTCGGCTTTGAAAGAGTAAATGAAGAATTACGATTAAAAAAACGTTTAAGTTTCAAATGACCTTCGTTCGAAGTGGTCAAAATTCATCAAATGAAATTTGTTATAAAATCCCAAAACGAATGTGTTATAAAATCCCAAATAATTTCCTAAAATAATATTTGCTTTCCGTTGGTACGGTGAACTTATGTCCTATAGTTTACCATACCAACGCGATAAAAATTTCCTCATTTTTTATTTTGTTTTTAATTACAACTTCTTTGAGTAATCAATTTTGCTATTACATAATAGAAAAGCAACAAAAAAGAAAATAAAAAAAATGTAAATAGTAACATTTTTTAAAGTAATAATTTTTTATACGTATAACAGTTTTTTATTTATTTTATTTTTTTTTTTTGTTGTAGACAAAATGTAATAAAAATATGCTTGTTAAGAAAAAATTAAAAAAAAAAAAAAAAGAACAAAGAAAAAGAAAAGCAACTAAAATTTAATCAAGGTGCATACGAGCAAACATGCAAAGCTAAGGCAAAAATTACGAGCATATGAAAATTACTACTAGTAATATTTAATAGATTATTACCTTTAAACAGATTACAGAGTGTTATAAAATTTATATGACACTAATTTCTAGCATAATTATTATGCATATTTTTATGAAGTAATTTGAAAGAATAAAGAATAAAGGGCGCCAATCACACAAGAATTTCAAAATTCAGTTAAATATAGTCGAAATATAACAGTGAGCCATTAATATATTCACAATATCAAATATTTGGATTGTCTTAAATTTTAAAATTTAAATAGTTAAAATGAGTCTTAAACTATTTTTATTTTAATTTTTTAACAGGGAAAATTTGGTATATTCCTGGAAACAAAGCATTTATTAATTTAATAGAGTATTAGTTTTTGTATAACACTTTCTATGCATTGAATGCTGATTCTGTTGCCTGTTATTTTTCAAGAAATTAGCATCATTGTTTTACAAACTGTGTATGTACTTTATGAAGATTGAGCACCCTATATTTGTGCAAAATCATTCCAATGGGAATACGAATAGAATATATCATAAATACCTATGTGAAAAAGTACATTTGTATATATGGGTTTAACATTCGCATTTCTTCATTGAAATTGAGACCACAACGCAACAATGAAACAAAAAACTCTAAAGAATTTCATTAGTCCATTTACTTATAAGATTTTATTATTCATAAAACTTAATAATAGTGAAAGAGTAATATTTGTGTCTAACATAATAGTTTTAATTATGTATCTATGAATGTATATGTATTTTTCGAACATCATTATGAAAATTTAAGCCAGAAATAATATAAGTTTGTAGAAAAAGAAACTTGGAAAGAAAGGGAGAAGAATATCGCATAAGAGGGATTGAAATTATGAAAATTTGTATGATTTTGCGAATTCTTAAAAGAAAACTTCGATTTATAAAGAACTGTTAAAATGTTAAACTTTTCAAATTCAACATAGCATTTTAAGAGCATCCATTCATTTTTAAAATTGATTTGCTTTTGTTTAAACATTTATATTGTGTTGTATTTATGGACTTAAATATTGATTGTATTTGTAAATTTGCAATTTTATTATTGATATTACATGACATACATGCGTATAAAAATACATAACGTACATATTATTTTGTATACATATACACATGAACGTGAACAAAGATCGTAAAAATACGTTTATGTTGCAAAGAAGAGAAAGTGATCGATTTTAATTCCTCTTCATATACTTTTGCAATTTCGTTATGTCCCCTGCTTAAATTATAACATTTAAAAATTTTTTAAAATTTTTATAAGTATTACAAAGTTAGTGTTACAATTTATGTATGAGTATAGTTAATCGATATATTTATTTTATAGACACAGGGTGGAAAACAAAAGTGAAAAGAGTGAGGTTATGTTTTTGAAGGTTCGATTTTCAGAGTTACTCAAAAAGCCTATATGGTTTGCTTCAAATCTATACATATATCTCTTAATGGAATCTATTTTTTAATTTAAAATCTTGAATTTTCGATGGTTCTCACTCAGTGGTGGATTGTACGATTAGCGAACTAAGCGGTCGCGTGGGCCTCGAGCTTTTAGGAGCCCGAAAAAATGGTGTGAATTTTTCCAGTACCAAAGTTTTTGTTTTAAAACAAATTTCTTAAATTTTTTGAATTTGCATAACAGGCCTATTTGTGTATTTTGTTTTTTGCATGTTTTTTTATAACATTTGTAATTTTGCATATTTAATCCTGATTCACGAAGACTTCTTTATTTTTTGTGTAATTTGATTTTAAAGGCCCAGATATTTTTACCGCTTAGGATCCCACTTCATTTGATCCGCCGCTGTTTTCACTTACACATTTATGTATGTGCATCTTACTATTATTTTTTCTTTAATTTTAATTTTCCAAATTAGAACCAAGTAAATAAAATATAAGGATTTAATTAAATTTTAAATAATTCTTATTTTTCTTTTTATTTTGCAGGACAAACAGTTTTTAAAAAATTTTTAATATTTGCATGTGTTAAACGAACATTCACATGTTAAACGATAACAGGAGTGTTAAAGCGGGATTGCAACAAAATATTTGAAATATTACATAAAATCTTTGTATAACAGATAACTGTATATACATATGCACATACACATATGTATATGATTACGGCCATCTAACGTGATTAAAAAAATGAAAATTCGTATAACAGAAAATAACACAAATTTTTAAATAAAAATATTACAAAAGTGTTATACCCTTAAAGTAATATTATTGAATTGAAAATATTAAAAAGAAAAATTAGTATAATAGAAAAAAAAATTATTACAGTATAAAATTTTTAAATTTAATAATTTTATTTTTTTTTATTTCTTTTTTTTTCCTTTTTCATAATTTTATTAATTGTGTGTGTTAAAATTTGAATATGTATAGCTTATAATCATATTTTAAATAATTACATATAAAAAAAATAATTTGTTATACATATTAAATTTTTTTTTTGCAAATTAATTAAGAACGTTTTAAAGTTGTATAAAAATTATATAAGAATATTGCATAAGAGTTTTGAATATTATAAAAATTTTTTATATTGAAGAATTTTTAATTTTAAAAAAGCACTTTCGGTTTTCTTTTCGAACATCTACACATATGTTATACTCCGTTATATGAAATTAAATTAATAATATAAAAATATTTTATTTGGATACTATAACTGTTCTGGATTAAGTATTTCTTCATTTTTTTATGTAAAGGTGAGTTTTTATACATATATATATGTCATTGATTATTTTTATATGAAAAAATTGCAATATTTCTAAAATTGATGGCTATTAGAAAATATTGTTAAAGTTTTATTATAAATGGGAGTATCATTTAAGTACATAGGTATTGAATTTATACAGTTATATTTGAAATTACCTACATTACTCTTATACAAGCGTATAATTTATTATAGGGCTGTTTATTATTAATAAGTCTGTTTCTTTTCAACAAAATTTTGACTAAAAATAGCAAAAAATTTTTACTTACATGCTGATAGGAATGAATGAATGCAATTAATACTTTCCACATTAATAAATTTCTAAATTATTGATTAAAAACACTTATAAATATATAAATTACAGGATAATAAAATATAATAATTTGTTTTACTATAAGAATGGTGCATAAGAGTTCTTTTTTGTCTATTACAATTAAAGAAACGAAAATCAAATTAACAACAAACTTCTTGTTTTACAATATTAATTATGTACTTACATATCCACTGAATACTAAATTGAATTTTTATTAATTGACAATATTTTTTGTTTAATAAATTTAATAAATTTATTCACCATATTTTAGAATGTAATTGATTAATATACTTGTAGTTGTAAATTTAATCACTTCAAATAAGCTATCAAATTTCAAAAAGAATTCTGACTGTAGGTGGTTGCATAATTAGTTAAAATAACATTAAATTTTTCTATGTAATTACAAGAATGCTTAGGTTAATGATTATTTTTTTATATACTTATATAATTATGCATGTACCTACTATAAAACGTTTATTAATGTAATTACTTGGTTTTAAATTTCAGGTGTGGTAATTTTTTTTTATTTAGTTAATAGCAAATTAATTGATTCGATGATATATTATTGATGATATGAAATTTAAATAAGTATAATAAAATATTATAGAAGCAAAAAAAAATTTGAGATTCATATATAGAAATATTTCTTACTTCTATATATAAAGGTAGATTTAGACTTTAAAAAAATCCTGAAATTCCAATTTTTTTTTATGTCTAACTTTGTAGTCTTTCTCGCATGATATCATCTTGATACATTCATCCGTGATATAGTATTGTAGTTCCAGGTATAATTACCATGAGGCTTGAAAATTTATGGTAACTTTTTCGAAAATTTCTACATACTGAGGCTGAAATTTTTAAAATTTATATTAATTGTATTTTGATTTAAAAATATTATTTTTCGCTGGGTTCGGAAAACCCAGGCGGACATTATCGGCCCTTATTTTTTTCCTACTTCACCTGTGGAGTATAGTGCTGGTGCATGATATCGTAGATGGATTTCTACTTAGATGGCATAGTTATGTCCCAGTTTCTTGGGTGGGTTTTTCTTTTATATTAAATATTAAAGGTTATTAATAACTTGTATTTAATATTATATGGTAGGCAAATATGGCGATTGGTTAATATTAATTTTTTATTTTATATGTAATGTACATATATTAAGTTATATAATATTAAGTACAACTTCAATCTGAGATCCTTCGGTTAAAGGACCGGTCAATAATTACTGCATCATTGCTCAAGTTCGGCTCTTATTAACACTGTTTCAAATTTAATCTGCTATTCGTAATTTCAAATCTTAACCTAATTTGATCAAATACTTATATTTTGAAAGGCGATTTGATTTTGATTTGACAACCTTAGAATTGCGTAAATTTCATAATAAATTTCCTGCACAGTCTATACGAAAATTTCAAATATTGTAATATTTCGATTTTGTATTAAACTAACTCATGTAGTTTTTACCATAGATATATTATCATAAAAAAAAAGTTAATTTTTTTTTCTTCTTTTTTCATTTATTATTCAAATTTAATTAATTTTTATAGTCTTCTTTTAGCTAAATTAATTAAGTGGTATATTAGTTAGTTAACTTTGTTAATAAATCTAATGATTTCTACTGATTACTTATTTCTTTTTGATTTAATTCTATTTGAATTTAAATAATTTTATAAGTAGTTAATTAAATTCAAATAATAGTTATTAATATTAAATATTAATTCTTTTACCTTATTAATTAAATGCAATTAATTTAGAGGTATTTGCATACACAAATATTATGCTTCTGTTTAGATCTAAAACAAAATTATAAAATCATAAGTATACTTAAAGTTTAAATTATGTAATTTATTAAATTTGCATTTTAGGGTGAAAATTTAAAAGTTAGCACATTTGCGTCACAAAAAAGTAAGCTTAAATAAATACTTTTTTAGAAAATAAATCAAATTTTAATTAATAAAATAAAAATTATAAAATCTTTAATTTTAAATAAAAAAAATTTTTAGATTGCAAAAGTAAGTATTTTTGGAAAATTTTGGAAAATTGTCGGAGCGCGTTTTCTGTTTTCATATAAATGAAACTTGTCACAGACCACATTTTTAATTTTCAATTTAAATTTTCATGAACTTCCCCCACAGAAGGATATATTTTAAATTACATTGCAAGATTATTTCATTATTTTTAAATAAAAATCAAAAATTAGTTTTTAAGTTTTAATTTATTTTAATGTAATTTTAACAGAAAAAAAGTGTGTCACTAGAATTGTTCAACTGCGTTACTTCAACTATGTTACATCATAAAATTTTTTAAAATTAATCATTTTTTTAAATATTTTGGCATCATTATTTGTTTTAAAGAATACGCAATAAGTCTGTTCGGGCTAGTGGTGAATGTTGTTCCAAACACATCGCTGGAGATAGTTTGAATTTTTTTTGCCGTGAATGTAAAACGCTTTTTTCAACTGTGTTACGTGGTTTTTGTTTAAATATTTTTTTTTTAAATTCAAAAAAGTGGCATATTATTAAGCAAACCAAGTAAACTAACCAACTGTATACTTTAAAATGCAAAAATATGTTGTAGTTTTATGTTAATATACTTTTTATTTTAAAATATTCTACTGCGTTACTGTTCAACTGTGTTACTAAATTTAAGTAACACTACTGAAGACATGGTAAGAAAGTTGATTTTTAAGGCAGTTTACTCTAAGTTGGTGAATAAATTCTTAATAATTTTACATACAAATAGGCGATAACATATTTTATTGATTATTATACAAAATGCCACTATCTATTTATATTTTAAATATGTATATTGTTAAAAATGCAAATGAAAAACTTAACCGAATATATACAACTTCATCGAGAGGAAAAAAGTTAATATCTTAGCATATTAAACAACAGCATGAAATTTACTGTTTTTGTTTTAATTTTTTTTGTTAATATACTGAAGACTGAATCAAATTTTTCAACAGTGTTACTATATTTTCCACTGCGTTACTGTTTTGTCACAAAAAAAATCAAAAAAAAATATTGTTTTAAACTTTTTTCTTCAAATTTAAGCTCTTAATTTTTTTGTTATGGACATTTTTAGAATAAAAAATTAATTTCTAAAGCAGTTATGTAAAAATTCCTGCAAGAAAAAAACTATTAAATAGTTTTATTTTAAAAATAAAAACTTTAAATTTAAAATTAGTAACACAGTTGAAATAACTTATAATTTATTTTTTTATAAAAATGATTTTTCAATATTACAGAATAAATTTATTTATAACTTTAATTACAAATGAGAGTAAAATATGAAAATAATAATTTCCATTGAAGAGATCGAAAAATTTAAGATATTTTTATCGGTAACGTAGTTGAACTAAATTCAAACCTGAGCTTACTTTTTTGGTTATAATTTCTAAAATATTTACAAAACCTCCGGACCACTTGAGGAGATTGTACATTATATATTAGGCAACTATAAAAAAATTATTTTAATAAAAAATTCTAAAAAAATAATTTGGAAAAAAAAAAATTCATTTGTGCAAACTTTTAAATTTTGACCCTTTAAATGATAATTATATGCGCATATATGAATGAAACGAAGATGTTATTAAAAATATATTGATGACGTGTATGTACAATAGGTATTGAATTCAATATTCTGAATTGTGTAATTTATAATGGATGTTTGTTTAAATAATTTCTAAATTATTTGTTAATTAGTTTTTTGAAATAATTGAGTTCAAAGCTTTTAAATTTACATACATTTATTGTTCTAGTTGATATAATTTTCACAATTTTGAATCTACGTAGTAATTAATATAAAGTGAAACTTAAATTAGTGTCAAATAATTATTTGCTTCATTGAGAATAAAGAAAAAATAAAAGTGAAAATATAATACAGAATTTGTGAGTTTCTTATTAGTGTCGTCAAACAATAAAATCGTTAAACTTTTCAAATTATTTGATTTCACTACTAAACTACAAAGAATGTGAACTAACAGTGTAATGTTAGGTATAATTAAAATTCTATCACCCCTTATGGTATTCATTTTCAAAAATAATTCAACAATATTTCAGCAAATATTCAAGTTGTAACAGAAATTATTTTAATAATACAGTTGTTATTTATTAACAACATGTTCAGATGGCATGAATCTCAATGGAATTTTTAGTATTAATACTAGAGGAAGTTTCGTAGACTTTCATGGCGAATTATATTCACTTCAATATTTACTTGCTAGATTTCTTTAAAGCACAACAATATTTTTACCACTTTATAATTTTTATTACTACCTACATGTTCGGTTTATTAAGTTCTCATATTGAAACTCATTTTTTATTATCTTATTAAAATATTATTTTCATCGTCTTAACATAATCTACAATTCCGTACCTGAATTTTATTTTCCATGCAAATTAATTTTGCAAACAAGTACAATAAACTTTATACATAAGTTCCCATATTTCCAAACTTGCAGTTGTAGCAAAAATTTTTACGAATTTTTCAAATAAATTTTATTATTTCCTCATAAAACTATCACGTTTCTTTTGAGTTTTCTGGGGAAATTGATAAACCACATTCTGGCAGCAAAACTTTTTCAAAAATATCAATAAAAATTTGAGTTTGTATCATCTTCCTATCAATCGGTATTTTCCGATCAACCGGCTCATTTCCAACCAATTATTAAT